CAAAATAGAAATATGTGAGTGGACAAAAATAAAGTTTGCATTTAAAACAACATAGTAACCCCACTGTGTAAAAATAATGCCCAAGCATGCAGTTTCCACATCCATAAATCAAATACTCAAACATAAAATCTCAAAGTCCAATAACTCTCAAAAATCTCAATCCACAACTCCATTCCCAAAAGTATGCAACTCTCACCAACCCATACATATGTATACAAATATAAGTATATATACCTATAATATAACGTATACTTCTCTCCATACTAATGTACCGGGGAAGACAATCCAACCGGGGGATTGTTGGCTGGTACGTAGGATTTTCGAACACGAACCCGCGTCCAGGGATGAGTAGTCCAACCGGGGGACGGAACTCCATAGCTCACACGCCGGCACTGCCAACGACACGTGTAGCTCACAAATCTCATAACAAGTCCTACGCGCGCAGACAGTATCATCACCCCACCGGCACTGCCAACGACGTGTGTGATGATACTCAAGCAATATACATACTCTTCCCATACGTCGGCACTGCCAACGACACGTATGGGAAGTGTCTCACCCCCCCACACCGCCAACGCCCTGTGTGGGACCCACCCCAGCCTTCCCATCCCACCGGCACTACCAACGACGTGTGTGGGAAGCCTAGTAACCAGGGAATGGTACTCACCTAACATACTCATACATCTCACAATCATCCCTCAAACTCATATCTTTCCACAATCTCACAACAACTCCTCGTACTCTATACATAGGCAATATAGATAGACATTCCAAAATCCATATAAACATATCCATAATACTCAAACATAGCCATACTCAAAATATATTGCCAATACGTATATGAATATCCAAATCCATCAACCAAATACTTAATAAATCATATTTCCATTTAAAAAAACATATGCACAAATCTTTTATCAATAAAACCATGCAAATGCTTGAAAACAAAGTTCACTCACAGGTAATCCCACGCTGCCCTGCCCCGAGAGGGTCCTGCCTGCTGCGAATGATCGACCGAAGTACCTATTTCGAGATACGAACTCTTGATTAATATAATACACTTCAAAACGGGAATTCACAAAAGAGAATACTTAAATCCCCAAGATCCCGGTGCGTGTACGTCCAATAGGATATCCTAAGGTCCGGTTACAGGTTTGGGAATCGCTTCCCATCCTACGGTTATCGCTAATCTCACAAACTTCAAATTATTAAATCGGAACATCCGGGGCTCCGATTCACGATCCGCGAATTCCTATAGGTTTCTAAGAGTGCTTCAATTTGGAAACAATCCGATGGTTAGAACTTATCGAACCCAGATAACGCACAATATGCGAAATCCGTTCGATAGTCAAACAACATCCAAATTGAGATCCACAAAGTCCTACGCACTCGTGACAACCTAGGGATCTCCTCAAGATAAAAAGCAACTTCACCAGCCTTGCCCACGCGCCGGCAGCGCGTGGGTGTGTAGAGAAATTTCCGGCGACGGAAAATCTCCACACCAACGCTCACCCTTCCTACCCTAGCTTCTTCTCAAGGTCAGGATCACTTTATTCAACTACCACAAGGTCCAATTCGCATGGGAACTGGCCGGAACTTCCAATTGAAAACTGGCCAAAACCTAGGTTTCCAATTCGATTCCCAAACTCAAAATCGTTCTAATCTAACCCCAAAAACAGCTAGAGCACGTAAAAAGGAGAAGAAACCTCACCTGGTTCGCCGGAAATGGACGGCGGAGAAGGCGGTGCAATAGTGCGAAAACCTCCGGTTTAAACCAGTCAATATCGTGGCCGGATTTCGAGCTTTCCGGTCGGGATAACAGGTGGGTTTTGATCGGGACTTCACGACGAGTCGAACGGGCCCGGTCTCGAGGGCTGTCGTGGACTGTGGCGGCGGCGGCACGGTGGTTTCCGTTCGGTTTGCACAGTGACGGGGGAGAGCTATCGCATGCAGAGGAAGGAGACGCGGGAGAGAGAGAGAGAGAGAGAGAGTGAGGGGTAAAAGTGAAAAATCTGATTTTACCCTAAACTTACTTTGAAATAATTACGGTAGCGCCACCGAACCTAATTTGCTCGCCAAAACTTCATTAAATCTCCGATTGAAGCCTACCGCCTGTCTACGGATTCGTCTCAGTACCACCTACGCAACCACACCATTCATGGTCCCAAAATCTTCCCGGATAAGAAATTGACCAAAATTACCCTCAACCCAAGAGTAAATTAATATTTTCTCTTAATTAAATTAAAATATGAAATAATTGGAGTCGGGGTGTTACATTTTTGCTTGATAGTTGCCATTTGATTGCTCATACAACAGCTCTCTTTGCTCGACAGCCATCATCCAATATTGTAACTTTTTTCCAGTTTTGTTGGTATGATTTCCAATTGACGTGCCACCCTCCTCCCTTAGGTTATATAGTTGAGAGCTTCAGCAATCGCCTTCGATTGGCAATTGCCACATCAGAAGAAAGATGTCTTTAGTAGGTGAGATCATGATGGTGTAATCAATTTACGAGTCTATCTCCCAAAGAATGTACTTGATTGATTATGGTACAAGCAGCTACTTTGTTTCCCCTTTGGATATATAAGGACCCTCCTGACTGTACCAACCAAGTCAATTTAGGCCATAAAAAATAATAACTCACCATTATATATCATCATAATTATCTAAGCACAAAATTATGAGCTTGTAAATTGGAGGTACGGCCAAATAGGGACCACTCATAACCAATAATGACGAAAACTTCATAGTAAAGCTCTGTCGTATTAAACGTAGAGAAGTCAATTTTCATGTGAATGTCCCAAACACAAGCTCCTTTCTCATTCTTCAACCAACATCAAAGGTCAAAGTCAAAACCCTTAAATACATATATACAGTAAACAGGTAGTGCCCATAACACCAAGTGCAAGTAGTCACACGTAGTAATAATCTTGGAAGTCCAAGTATCGTATCCTCAAGGAGCAGGTAGGCAAATATCTGCATACAAAGAAATAATTAAACGTACCACAAAAAAAGTGACAAGCAAAATGGAAAAGTAATTTGATTTGATTGTTGTGGAAAATTGAGTTTAAAAATGAAATATCAATAATGGAAATGCTAAGGCATCAAGGTTCAATTCTTTAAACAAAATATATTTCATGCTCTTTAATCCAAATTATAACTCGATTAAAATCATCATTGAGAAACTTTAACCGGAAGATAAAGAAATTAAAACTAATTTAATTTTTCAATGTAATCTTTTATTAATGATTGTTTAGAAAATGGAGTTGCTTAATATCTACTCTTTTAATTTAAAAGCATGCCAAGTCAGTTCTTAATAATGAGAAAAATATAATTGAACTCATGAAAAGATAATAGCACTTAACATCAATCAAAATAAAAGGATATGAAAATATTGAACAACCAAAAATAAAAGAATTTAGCAATTCATACCGTATATTGGATTAAAGAATAATTCACAAACTTACTCAAAGAACATTCCCTTTAGCCTTAGCTAGAGTTCAAGCAACTTATTACAAAGGAAAACATAAACTAAATGGATAAAGAAATTTGTCGCAGGCACTGACAGATCTGTTCAAGCGCAAGGAGGTGCACCTGCACCTCCGGTCGCCGGAAATCACCATTGGAGGTGCTGGAGTTGCACCTCTGCTTCAGACCAGCAACGCACATAAGGTGTTCGATGAAATGCGCAAGAGACTGCCTGCGCTGCCTGCCTGCTGCTGTGTGCACTGCGCGCGCATGTTTTTTTTAACCAAGCCAGGCCAAAACGATGTCGTTTTGGACCAGTTGTTTTAAAGCGCGCTGCCTTTTTTTTTTTTTTTTTTTTTAAACCTGGCCAAAACGACGTCGTTTTGGACCAGGGTTTTCAAATAATAAAAAAAAAGTAAAAAAAGGGAAACTGATGCTGAACGTGGGCTTTTTTGTGGGCTTTTCAAATGGTTTTATTTCCTTACTTAATTGGGTTTTAATTGAGAGTTATCTTTATTTGATTGGGTTTTGGGAATTCATTAATTAAGTAGGATTGGGAATTCTCTTTATAAAAGACCAATTTAACATCACCCAATTTCATCAAAGTGTGTGTGCATCACAAGAATCCTGCATTTTTTTTCCTTCTTGAGTAGGCCAATCCAAAGCAAGTTGAATGCATTTTTTTTTCTTTGAGCAAACTCCAATTTTGTTTATTCTTTTTTTAATATATTTTTGTGTGTGGTTATTTAGCTCTCTCTGTATTAGTAAGATCAGTAGCAAACTCGAGTGAATACCAGGCTACGTGACACGTTATTTGAGGTATAATTAATTTTTATTTATTTATTTAATTGATAATTTGATATTTATTTATTTATTTATTTGATAAATTATAGTCAATTAGTCATAGTAATAGATATAAAACCCTTATTTTGTTTTAATTGTATAGTTATGGAACTGTACTTTCAGAGAAAGAGTTTAAATCCTCCTTCAAATAATCCGAGTAGTTCAAATCCTCCTTCAAATAATCCGGCTAGTTCAAATCAACCTTCAAATAATCCGCCTACTTCACATCCTCCCTTGAATAATTCGGGTAGTCCAAAATGATCGGAGGTCACTGAGTTGGATGAAATATTGGCTAATATTCCTGCAGACCCTGGACTTAGACCTCCAATGACTTATTATAATCCCAATTTTCGAGAACAAATCCGAAGAGCCTATCTGCAAAGGGGTCCTTGTCAGCCTAAAAGCCACAACGACATGCCTCAAACACTTATGGGGGAGAGTAATCGACGTTTTCTTGTGAAATGGTTTGATTCATTTGTTTGGTTGGAGTATAGTAAAGAGAAAGATGCTGCTTTTGTCTTTATTGTTATCTTTTTAAATGCGATTTTGATCAACAAGGAAAGGCTGGAAGCGATGTCTTCACTGAGAAAGGGTTTAAAAATTGGAGGAACGGACCCGAGAATTTTAGGGACCATATTGGACACGTTGGAAGTCTTCACAATAAAGCTACACAACATTGTATAGATTTAATGAATCAGAAGCAACACGTTGAAACCATTGTGATCAAGCAGACAGACCAAGCTCGTGTTAATTATCGCATTCTATTAATTGCCGCACTTGATTGCACTAGATATTTATTGCAACAAGGTCTTCCTTTTCATGGCCATGATGAAAGCGAAACATCTAGCAATAGGGGTAATTATGTGGAGCTTTTGCAATTTCTTGTCGATCATGATGAGAAAGTTCGTGCCGTTGTGTTTGAGAACTCTCCAAGGAATCTCAAGTATATTGCTCCTAACATTCAAAAAGAACTTGTCAACTCTTGTGCCGCTGAAACCATTGATGCAATTATTAGTGATATGGACGATGCATTCTTTTCTATATTGGTAGATGAATCACATGATGTTTCAATAAGAGAGCAAATGGCGGTGGTGTTGCGTTATGTGAACAAAAAAGGGCAAGTAATTGAAAGGTTTGTAGGTGTCCAATATGTCTCTGATACGACTAGTAGCAAATTCAAATAGGCAATTGAGCAGTTGATTTCTTCAACAAATTTGAGCATGTCCAAGCTATGAGGACAGGGGTATGATGACGCTAGTAATATGAGAGGTGAGCTCAATGGTCTTAAAACACAGATTTTTAGAGAATATCCTCAAGCATATTATGTCCATTGTTTTGCACATCAACTGCAACTAGCTCTTGTAGCCGTAGCAAAGGGAAATGAAAACATTGCTACTTTCTTCACAACGGCTAGTAGTGTCGTTAATATTATTGGAGCATCGTGTAAGCGTCGTGATGCACTTAGAGAGCAACAACAAAAAGATATTATGGAAGCTCTTGAAATTGATGATCTTAATCAAGAGACTACTCTCAAACGTCCTTGTGATACACGTTGGAACTCACATTATGATACTTTACTTAGTATTAATACTATGTTTCATCCGATGGTGAAGGTGCTTGAATGGATTGTTGATGATGTCAACCAAGATAATTTAGGTGAAGCAAATAGGTTGTTGAAAGAAATACAAACTTTTGACTTTGTGTTTCACTTATATTTGATGAGATTTATATTGGGAATCACAAATGATTTGTCAAAGGCATTACAAAAGAAAGATCAAGATATTGTGAATGCGATGATGTTGGTCCAAAGATGTAAGCAAAAGCTACAATCCGTGAGGGATGATGACTTTGATGATTTGCTTGGCCAAGTATCAATGTTTTGTGGCAAAAATGATATTAACGTTCCTAACATTGATGATTTATTTGTACCACAAGGGAGATCAAGACGTAAAGCTCATAAAATCACAAACCACCATTATTATCGTGTGGACCTATTTCTTACTATCATTGATAAGCAACTAGTGGAATTGAATAATCGCTTCACTGAGGTAAATACTGAATTGCTTCTTTGTATGGCATGTTTGAGTCCGGCTTATAATTTTGCAGCTTTTGACAAACAAAAAATACTTCATTTTGCTAAATTTTACCCCCAATAATTTAATGACCGAGACCTCATGAAGCTTGAAGATCAACTTGGGCTTTATATTGTTGATATGCAGACTAGCATAGAGTTTTCATCATTGAACGGAATTACTGATCTGACAGAAAAATTGGTGAATACAGGAAGGAATAGAATATACAACTATGTGTATTTACTTCTTACATTGGCTTTAGTTTTACCCGTTGCAACTGCTTCGGTTGAGAGAGCTTTGTCAGCTATGAATATTGTGAAAATACCATTGCGTAACAAAATGGGGAATCAATAGTTGAGTGATAGCTTGATTGTTTACATTGAGAAAGATGTTTTTTCTTGTATTAGTAATGCAAATATAATGCGACGTTTTCATGATATGAAAGCTCGTCGGCAACAATTGTAGGTTAATTGTAATGTTATTTTTTTAATTAATTATGAATAACATTAGTATTGTTTAAATGATAAGGATGTTTAGTTGTCCTTTTTTTTCTTTTTTTCTTTTTTTTTTGAGCTCTTAGCTTTTAAAAATTGCACCTCCGCTGAAATTTTTTTGGATCCGCCGCTGCCTGTAACCTATCGGGCTTAGTCTCTTCTAGTGATCTCACCCTTGTAGTGGGAAGTTAATACATTCGTGGTGGATGATGAAGGGTTTAATTGAGGGATTAATTGGATTAAACATGTGTTGATGGTGGAGTGTGACAACCCGAACCTTAATTAATATTTAATTATTAAAATATTAAGAAGAAAGGACAATTTTGCCCTTGGACTAATTAGTAAAGGAAAGGTTGACCTTTTGACTGAGAAATAATTTGACCATTCCACTTGCACCATTGCGTACAGTGCGACGAAACAAGTTCATAGACACGTATTGGGCTCGAATCGGAATTATAACGAAGAAGTTACGGTCAAAATACTTCAAGGGGCAAAATGGTAATTTGGAAAGTCAGATTTTTTTTAAACCCCTCCCTCTCCTTGGTTCGACAGAACCCTCGGCCGGAATTGCCATAGAAATGGCTGGTTTTTGACAGATTTTCTCTAGCTTCGTTCGAATGATTTCGGGCACCAATTCGGACGAGTGAGGTATGGATTTCTAGCTATTTTCCATGCTCTAGCTGCTGGTTGGGTAGAGTTTCAGAAATTTCAAGTGTAAATCGTTCGATTGTTTAAGTTAGGTTTCAGCAGATTTTCGGGTCACTGTTTCGGCCACTTCCGGCCAGTTTTTGGGGTAGGTCCAAGAACAAAAGTTGTTCCAAATGGGGTGTTTTAACTAAGTTAGGAGTTTGGGCCGGTGGTTTGTAGTTTTTATGACCGCCAGGAATTGATCAAGCCACCTACACACTGCCAGCGCGTGTGGCGGCGTGTGGGCAGATCGTTTCAATTGATCAAGTCATGTTCAGGTATGTTGATCTAAGTAATTTTAGGATCGTATAGTATTTGACAGATCGTAAAACGGAGTCCCAGATACTCCAGGAATGTCAGCCCTATAGTGAGGTTTACAGTAAACAAACCAATTGCAGAGCAAGGACAGAGGAAAGAACTACGTGTGGCTTGATCCCTCAGTAAGGGTATGTAGGCAGCCTACAGTTATCAGGTGCAGCCACGAGTTAGAGCCTTATGGTTTGTGTTATTATTGTTTTTCAGGGCATTTTGGTCATTTAGCACCCACACCCACCAAGTATCAGTTTTAACAAGGTTCGACCCGGATTCCAAAGTGGAATTTAGGTCAAGTCGTTTCATGGAGAGTTAGTGGAAAAGAAATAACGGTGAGGTAAGTGGGCGTTAAATGGCTATGAATGACATGAAATAGGCTCTTTAGCTTCAACGGTTTTGTCTTCTCTTCTCCCTCTTTACTTCTCTTTATAATCACAATAATCCCACAATCAATTCTTTAATTAAATCCGCTAGCAATTCTCTTCACACCTAGCTTGAACTTGGACAAATGTATGTCTTCATCTTTTGGCTTTCCAACTTCCTACAGAAGATAAATTCACTTAATAAGTTCACCAAATTAATATAGAAAATTCATAAATCCAGTTGGTGAGAATAAAATGTAACAACAAGTGAAATTATATTAATTAAGCAAAATTATATCATAAAGTCTCCAAAATAATAGTAAAAAGATGTAATTTGAGACTCTCATCAAACATCAAAGGTCAAAGTCAAACCCTTAAATACATATATATAGTAAACAAGTAGTGCCCATAACACCAAATATAATTAAGCCAAAGAAAAAACAATGACACCAAACAAATATCACTCAACAAAACTACTTTTGAATAAAGCGCAAAAAATTAAGCTGTCATGTATCGTAGGTTGGTTGGTGCTCTTCAATATCTTACGTTCACTCGCCCTGAGATAGCTTATGCCGTAAATATTGCTTGTTAATTCTTGTCTCAGCCCACTGATGTGCATTTTGGTCTTGTTAAATGTATTCTTTGGTATATTCAGGGGATTCTCACTCATGGTATGCGCTATACTTATGGTCTTATCTCTCTTAGTAGGGGTGGGGCATTCAAACTGTCCTCTGCTGCCCAGCACGTCTCACCCGCTAAGTCTCAATGATTCATAGAATCGAAAAAAAAAATATGGAAAGAATCAAAAGGAGTTGCAAATATAAATTTTAAAAATTCATAACCGCCGAAGTTTTACTAGTACATATTATACGTAACACTGGATATCTTCGTCAAAGAGACAAAAATATGCACCCAAGAGAAACTTGTACAGTAAATTAAGGTAATGGATAGCCTAGCTCAGTATCCATATCTATCTTGAACTCTTCTTCTGCCTTTGCCAAGTCTCTTTTCGCTGCCTCAAGATCAACTTCTGCAACAGCGAGGACATCCCTTCGCCTCTTTATTTCATTCTCCAAAATTTCCACATCTTCTCTCAGTCTATCAACTCTTCCTGCCCTTCTCTTCATGACCAAAACCGATTGAACATGAGGCTCCAGCCAAACCAAGTCAAATTTGAAGGTCTCAAGCTCCTCCCATAACAGTTGAAGGCGTTTACAAGCATCACGGGTCATATCCTTGGCCTTTGTAGTCTTCAGAAAACGCAAGAGTCGGCCCAAAGCTGTGAAGGCACATTGAATAAACGTACGACTTCTCTTCTTATGGCACTCGAGCAAGGAAGGATACGACGAACAAACTTCCTCTAGAAATGGCACAAAAGTTTTCTCTACTCGTCCTAAGCCCCTAAAATCGATAAGCTCCCCAGTTTCTTGGTCTTCTAAAATCTTAATGCCATTACAAACTGAAACTTCGGCTTCAACAACACAGAAATCATTGACAAGATACCCTTTATCATGATCACAAAGCTCACTTAGAAGAATGAATGATGTAAAGCCCCAGTCATTTGCCACAAACTCATGTTCTGTATCTGTATCTATGAAATGAAATGTATCAAGGATCACAAAACTTTAACCAAGAATCAAGCATATAAACGAACAGATAATAAAGCAATATGAATGATACAGAAAGCCCATTGAAGCGAATAGATAAATAAGAAACATAACAAGTAAGAAAATATTTGACTGACTTAAAAGCCTTAATTACAGTATAGCTTATTCTCCAACATTTACCTGGAGCACATATATACTAGGAAGTTAAATGAACCACATATATCAGTACTCCATTGCAGAAAAATCTAAAACCAAAACAAAACTAAAATGTTGGACTGATGATCCTCAGAACTCCAAACACTCTTCCCTAATGTATTTAGTAGAGAATAAATATGCCACAAAATTTTGAACAAAATCTCAAATTGGCTGATGCTAGAGTTTCTCCATTAAAGATTACTAAAACTAATTAGTTTTCCACTCTACAAGTTTACAACTTAGGCCTCGCATGCCTAGGAACTAGGTGACATCACAAAAACAACTAAAAGAGTCATATGCATGCCTGACCACAACAATAGGAAGTAATAAGAACAATATGAACTAATGGATGAAAATCATCATGATTGATCGTGAAACAATCTTAGATTACTGGAAAACAATATGTGCCACATACGTACGTATATATGTGCCATCTCGGTCAGCCTATAATCTCTCAATCACAGAGGGTCATTAAATTTTCATACTTATTCATCCATTAATAGAACAAACAAAATAAATTATTGATCGAGACAAGGGGAAAGACATTGGACCTGAAGAATGAAGAATGAAGAATGCAGAATAAGATGAAGTACAATTAATGCTAGTGACTTACACATTTTAACACAAGCATTTTGATGTCGCATAGTAATATATAGTGTAGCAGATGAACCATCCAGATCATAACTAAGGAGATAGAGGGAAGACTGTTAAAAAAGAAAAATTGTAGGAAAAAAATCACTCAATTCCATTTAACAAGTTAAATTAACAAATGACAAGCCACAAGATAAAAATCCAGCATAAATTTGAATTGCGAAATAAACAACAGTCATGAGCAGAAAAGATGTATACCCTTTGTGATTGACTTCTTGCTATCAACTTGATTAACCAGGGTGAGCCTGAACTTGGCATATCTGGTCGACCCAGATGACAATGTTGAAGCGTCTGCAACATCCAAATACACGGACAAGTAATCTACGTTGTTCCCCTTGGGAAATATAAGGATCCGCCAGATCAAACCAACCCAAGACGATTAAATGTACATATTAACCAATTATTATCCCAGGAAAAAATAAAATAAAATAAAAAAAGTCTACCATTTATAGCCACCAACGACGAAAACATCAGAATAATGCTTTTGCTTGTTCAGCGTGGAGAAGTTGTCGATTCTCCAGGTGAATGTCCCAGACACAAGATCCTCCTCTTCCTCCTCCTCCATTCTACAAAGCTCAATCCCATAAATATATTGTAAATCTGTTAGAATTCTTAGTTTGTATATGTATTTTCAGATTAGGAAGAGATGTATTTTCTGGAGATTTCAGCTAGAGAGAATGAAGAGAAATGAGGAAGGCATTGTTCTATTGAATTCTTACAATCTGCAGCTTACATAGTGTGTCTGACAGAGAGAGAAATGTGATTCTCTTCTAACAGAATTACAACTGTCACCCTATTAGGTGCTTACACGTGTCATACCAAATCTAAGCTAGAGAATCCACCTAGACTATGATCTAATGGTTCTCATTACATCATTTAAAATAGACAGAACAGAAAATAGAAAATGACTTCTGCCTAAGAAATCAGGCAGAACATGACTTCTGCTCTAAGAAATCAGGCAGAACAG